TAATTCTACTTGGACACTCGAAACAATCAACTCAACTCAAGTCAAATCAAATCAAATCAACCAACTCTTCTCATTTCACCTCAGCTCAACTTAATTGAGTTTTTGTTTGATGTTGTCTTTGCAACTTGGTGTTGTTAGCAGAAAGATCGAGAATCTAAAGGATCCATATTGAGTCGAATCGGATCAACCTTCCGAGATCATTAAGAATTCTACTTGGACACTCGAAAATATCAACTCAAGTCAAGTCAAATCAAATCAAATCAAATCAAATCAACTAACTCTTCTCAATTCACCTCAGCTCAACTTAATTGAGTTGTTGTTTGATGTTGTCTTTGCAACTTGGTCTTGTTAGCTGGAAGATCGAGAGGAACGCACCCAGTGCGAAGTCCACTGTGTGCATTATCATTTCCAAAGTCGAACCTTGTACGTGGTACATTCTCAGACGTTTAGCCGGCACCGTAGTCGGTATTGTCAGTGAGTCTTGTCACACTCAGCACCACCTTCATCTACTACTCATCAAACAGGCAAGCGAAGTCGATCCGTTGGCCAATTGTCCGCTAAACAATCGTTGTATCTCTCCTTCTCTTTCTCGTATCTCCACTTTAGTAGTACAGTCTCTATTTTGCTCATTTACACGTGATTTAATGTGTCCTTATGAGACCTATTCACAACCCCTTATGAAATCCGCTCAAACGGACATACGGTACCACGTTGAAACAAGTGAACAAGAGATTGCGATCGTCATGGAGTGATACGAGTATAAAGGGAATAGGTGAATAGCCCAGAACAGAGGGAGAGATAGCAACACTGTTTAGCAGACAATTGGTCAAAGGATCGACTTCTCTTGTCTCTTTGACCAGTTGCTCTCTCGTTTTTCATGCCAATATGACCGAGTTGCCAAAACACTACCAGCTTAGTCTTCACACTTTTGATTAACTTAATTTAACTCAAAGATATAAAGACCAAGATGGTGTGACAATTTGTGTGGTCGTAAACTCCTTTCGTTGCACAGGAGTTGTTTGACCTTGTTTTCGCAACTTGGTTATGTTGGTAGGAAGACTTAGACCACACCATCTTGGTCTTCATACCTCCGATTAAACTATATGTTTTTTCGAAGGTATGAAGATAAAGATGGTGTGGCCTTCTGTGTGTTTGCAGTCTTCTTTCGTTTTATAAAGTTTGTTTGACCTTGTCTTTACAACTTGGTCATAATGGTAGGAAGACGTTGAAGAACGCACCTTGTTCTGAGTCCATTGTATGCATAATTATATACAAAATCGGACCATGGACGTGGTATATTCCCAGACCTTTCCCTGGCATCGTAGTGGGCATCGTCAGTGAGTCTCGCCATTCGTAGCACCATATTTCAACTCGTCGAAGTCTCTTTGACTAAGTCCCATTTTCTGACTCATAGAGCTTTACAAGCGATTTTGTGTTCATCTAACCTCTTATGTATGATTCTTTAAGTCTCTCCTACATAGACAATGACGCACGAGCACAAAACCTTATAACGACTTGATCTGCAGCTTGACTTTCTTTTTCGAAAAGTGACAAGACGACTTGCATTTTTGTTTATGGCACTAAAGTATATTCATAAACTTTACACATCCCACTAGGTTCGTCAGCTTAATCAGACAAACGTCACACATTAGAAAATCGTAGCGCTTTGTTTCTTTTAGTCAAACAAAAACGTTCATCTACTATTGTTAATCTAACTAAAGATGCTAAAGAAGTTGTTTGACGTTGTATTCGCAACTTGGTCAAAGAGACTTTGTCGAGTTGTAATATGGTGCTACGAAGGGTAAAACTAACAGACGATGCCGACTACGATGCCGGCGAAACTTCTGGAAATGTACCAGGTCCATGTTCCGACTTTGGAAATGAAGATGCATACAATGGACTCAGGACAAGTTGCGTTTATATCAGTCTACTTACCAATATGACCAAGTTGCGAAAACAAGGTCAAACAACTTCTATACAACTAAAGGAGACTGCGACCACACAAAAGGCCACACCATCTTGGTCTTAATACCTTCGGTAAAACACATAGGTATGAAGACCAAGATGGTGTGGTCTAAGTCTTCCTGCCAACATGACCTAGTTGCGAGAACAAAGTCAAACAATTTCTATACAACGAAAGGAGAATGCGTCCACACAAAAGGTCACACCATCTTGGTCTTCATACCTTCGACAAAACACATAGTTTAATCGTAGGTATGAAGACCAAGATGGTGTGGTCTATGTCTTTCTACCAACATGACTAAGTTGCGAGAACAAAGTCAAACAATTTCTATACAACGAAAGGAGAATGCGTCCACACAAAAGGTCACACC